CACTCGATTTTAACTACTATCATTTTACACCTCAGAGTTACATTAAAAGAATGTGACTCTACTTAGAGTAAAATTAACTCTACTTTTGCAAGAAGACTATTAACACCAAAACATTTAACACTTTTGAATTTGCTGTGTATGTACTTAAAGTATAAGTTCTTACTTTGCTTTTGTGCAATAAGTTGCCTGCTAATGCAATATTTGGCTGTAAAGCTAGTCCCTTTGTTAAGCTAGTTAGCCGCGATTTTGGAGGTCATCTGGGATAGCATCGATAGTACAAGTTTATATAATAAGACATATGACATATGCTATGTAGTAGCAATGTGGTATATAAGTGCATATTATGCTGCACATATGTATATCATGACTGTATTGTTTGTCTTGTTTTTAGTTTCACCCTTTTGAATGTCAGTAAACCTGTTAACAATGTTCATCGATCTTCAGAGTTGTGATATAAGAAAGGTGTTAACGCCCCTGCATCAGACAAGCACCCATAACGGCACAACGTTATTCTCATTGAGTAATGTAACGGAATACGTTACAAAATATATTCTGGAGCATGTATTCTGTAATCTGTAGTGGAATACATTTTAAAAGTAACCTTCCCAACACTGACCATACTTTTGAATAGTCAGTGCAAAAGAGTGTCTTTGAGTTTCAGTTACTGGCCAGTTTTGCCTGGTTTGTTTTCTTATTAGTGTTAGTGTATATTGATTATAATGTATGTGCTTACTCCAAATAAGGTAAAAATTCAAGGAAAATTAATAAATGCTGTTCAGATTTTAAATTCTCTTTAATTGTACTGCCAACAAATAACAACTTCAGTCAGCACAACCCCTGTGGTCTTGGTCGAAGTGTTTTAATGAACATACAGTTACGTCATTGTTACATACACCAAGAGGCTGAAAGGAGTAAATGACAGTGAATGCCAAATTTCTCACTAGTCTAATACTTTATACATGTGGAATAAATAATATCATGATGACATACATGCCAAACTGAGAGCTAAATAAAACAAGTAGAAAAGTGGCCAAAAGGTTTTTGGCAATGGTGAGGCTGAACAAAATCTTTACAATTGATCCTTAATGTTGTCCTTTGTTTCCTTTCAGTGAAAAAAACAAAATGAAAAAAAAATATATATATATTATATAGACACAAGTTAGAAGGTTATCACCCAAAAGGGGTTTTCACGGTTGTTGTGGCAATGCAGCTTAATAATATTATAAAAGTATGTAGCGTCTATAGAGTACAGAGACATAACAAATCACTTGGAATGTAAATGAAATCATCAAACTTAAACTTCTCAGTTCCTTTTCAGAAAGCCCAAACCTCTCTGGAATGGCATCAACAGCACCACAAAATAATAAAATTAAAAAAACAACAACAACAACAACAACAACAACAACAAAAAGCAAACAAACAAACAAACAAAAAACCCCAGAAAAGATTCAGATAATAATTCAGAATAGTTAACCTTAAGGATCAGTGCAGTCCCATTTAAATTTGATGATGTTTTTCATTTTCATGGATCTGTTCCTGGAAAATGTTGTCCTTGAAAGCAAACTTTAAACTGTGTCTGTTGAGTGTTGAGTTCAGGTAACCAAAAAAGTTATTATTTTTAAGTCATACAGTGGGGCAAAAAAGTATTTAGTCAGCCACCGATTGTGCAAGTTCCCCCACCTAAAATGATGACAGAGGTCAACTGTGAGAGACAGAATGTGAAGAAAAAATCCACGAATTCACATGGTAGGATTTGTAAAGAATTTATTCGTAAAT